ACAGGCTCCAGGCTCTGAGCTGTCAGCACAGAGCCCGACGTGGGGCTCGAACTCACTGACTGCGAGATCATGACCTGAGCCGAAGTCGGCCGCTTAACCGACTGAGCCACCCAGGTGCCCCTCGTCTGACTTTTTATCTCAGCTCAGGTCATGGTCTCGCCATTCATGGGATCGAGCCCCCCATCAGGCTCTGTGCTGACGGCGTGGAGCCTGCTTGGGACCCTCTCTGTCTTCCTCTCTGTGCTCCTCCCCTGCTCTCTCTCTCTCCCAAAAGAAATAAATAAACACTAAAAAAGATTTTAATTTTTCTAAGTGTAACTGTCTCCATGGTAACCTGTGGCCACATTGTCCGGGTACCGCTTTCCCAAAAAGATCCTGCTCAGCTCCCAGTGTGGGCACCCGGCACACCAGCAGGGGGGCTAGGAGGTGGGTCAGGCTAGACATGGACAGGGTCACTCTCCTCTCCTCTCGGGGGTCCTCTTGCCTCTTCCCACCTGACCCCAGCGTTCCCCTGCCTACACCCATCTCCCCTCAGGATCCCATAGCTATTAGCACTTTGTGTGGATGCTGTCGACCTGGTGAACCTCCTCGGAGTAAAGGAAGCCTCACCCGAAGGAATGAGCATCTAATAGTGAAAATCTAGGCCCGGAAGCACAACGATAGGAAGTTATTTGGGATGGGGGGGAGGATTTCCCCCGGTCCCTATGCTCAAACCGCTGGGACTGGGCGGACCGCTGTGTTTGAGGACGGCGCCCCCAGGAACGGTCTGTGCTCAGAGCCCGGGTTGTTCCGGGTCGGTGCTGACCGCAAAGGGCAGTTCCCTTCCTGCTGGGAACACCCGCGTCTTGGTGCGCGGCGGTTACAGGCCGCCCTGCAGAGGTCTGTCCGGCCCCACGCTGGGGGTCTGTCCCCACCTAACCCGGGGCACCAGGAGCCGAGTGCGAAATCTGCCTCCTAAGAGTGCAGGTGCCGGGGGCTGTGGCTCCTGGGCAAATGTCCTGGCGGCTCAGGGTTTGAGATGGTTCCTGGATGGGGAGCGTGTGCGTGTGTGTGTGCATGTGCGTGTGGGGGGTGTTTCCTGTCTCTGGAACAGTCCTCCTCCAACAACGATTTCCCGATCTCCAGCGGGGCCCGGTAGGCCGGGGCTCCCGGGAGCTGGTCTCTTGGAGAAAGCGGGGGCGACATGGGTGTTGGAAGGATACTCGAAGCCACTGAGCTTGGCCTGCTCTGACCGTCCCCGGCGCCCCCAGTGTCTCCGAATCTCGGAACGGGTTGAGGCTCGTCGGGCTTCTTTGGGCCTCGATTTCAGACCCCCCCTCACCTGTGTCTCATCAGCCGCGTCTGGACACGGAGACAGGGCTCTGACATCCAAACTCCACTCACCCGCCCTGCGGACGCCCCGGGGACCCCCGTGGCTGCAGTTGGCCTGCCCTCGGGCCCCCCTCCCCGTGAGGCGGGGATGGTGGGGCCCACGCTGGAGGCCCGCACGGACGGGATACACAGCTCGCCAGGAGTCACAGAGCACGGAGGCTCCCCTGCCCCCACCCCCACCCCCGCAGTGAGTCCCAGAGGCGCGTGCAGAGGAAGTTGCTCCGTTAGCATCTGTCCGCGAGCCGGCTCCTGGAACTGGGGGCCAGGGGACCTGAGCGGTCATGTACGCCCCGCGCGGCCCCGTTCCCGAGGACGGCTTGTCGCCGTTCCAAGTTACGTTACCTCTCACCTGGCTCCCTGCCTCCGTAAGCTCGGACCTTCCCCGACCTCCGGCAACCTGGGGGAAGATGCAGGAACCAGTTCTGGGCTTTGGGTCCTGTTCTAGACGGTCGTAGCTTCCCGTTCCTGCCGTGACAGAGGACCAGACGCAGTGGCTTTGAAACAACACAAACTCACTGGCTCACAATTCTGCGGGCCGGAAGGCCACCGCCGGCTACAGGCGGGTGTCCACAGGGCTGGTTCCTTGCGGAGGCTGCAGGGGGGGGGGATCCGTGTCCTTACCTTTCCAGCTCCCAGGGGTGCCCACACTCCGCTACTGGCCCTTCCTCCCCCTGGGGTGCCAGCGACACGGCGCCCCTCCCGCCTTCTCCGTGCTCACACCTCCCTCCGGCCGTGGCGGGGAAAGGACCCTTGTGACCAGACGGGGCCCACCCGGATGACCCGGGCAGTCCCCTATCCCAGGTCCCGATCACGTCGGCAGAGTCCCCTCCACCACCCAAGGTCCCATATCCACAGGTTCTGGGGGTCCGACCGCGGGCATCTTGGGGGGCACACCTCCGATCCCAGAGAACCCAGAAACCCCGCCCCTCAGTCACACCCCCCACGTCTCGGGCCAGGAGCCCTCAGGAGCTCTCTGCCTCTCCAGTCCTGAGCTTGTCCCCACCGGTGCTGCCTCAGGCCCCCCACTGCTCTGCTGCGTCATGACCCCGTCCGGGCCCTGCAGTGGCCCTGCCTCCCCACAGCTCCTTTCTCAGAAACTCGGGGGAGGTCAGGGCCCGCCCACTGCCGCGGAGACCCCTGGGTGCTGCCCCACCGCAGGCTGCAGATGCTGGGGTACTTGCGGCTCCTTCCTGTATTGGACGGCATTCAACACATGCCCTACAACCCAGCTGTGGGTCCGCAGCGTCGCCCCACCCTCCTAAGCCGCATTGTCACAGCCACCGAGCAGCCAGGGCTGGCCCTCCCTCATGTGGACAGTGTGACGGGGAGACGCTCAATCCTGCTAAGCCTCAGTTTGCCTCTCTGTGAAACGGGGTTGATACGAAGAGCACCAACCTCATCAGGCTGCCGTCAGGATGAAACGAAGTCCTGTGCGGGGTGCCTGGCTGGCTCAGTCTTTGCGGCATGCAAGGCTTGACCTCAGGGTTGTGGGTTCAAGCCCCACATCGGGTGTGGAGCCGACTTAAAAAACAAAAATGAAACCCGATGGGCCTTGGGTACGGCTGCAGTACAAGTGCTCCTACAGGTTAGCCACCATCATCATCACCGTCCCTGTACCGTCGCCTGCAGACGAGTTCCACGAGGGAACCCGCGTGAGGAGGGTCGAGCTTTGGGTCCGAGCCCAGTGCCGCCACCAACAAGTTCTGGAGCTTGACCGAGTCACTTGTCCCTTCTGGACCCTCCTCGCGCATCAAGCCCGTGCCACGGGAGCGGCTGAGAAGCGGACCCACAAGGTTCTGGAAAGCTGCAAGTGACCGCATTGCCAGAGCACGGACGTGAGTGCTCCCTGGCACAGGATAGGGTGTCAAACAGGGCACGTGGAGGCATTCCCACCTCTGGGGTCCTCACAGCCTGAGAACGCTCTGCGCGTCCTCTCCGTGGGCACTTGGAAGGGCTCGTCACGTGGCCCCGGGGGAGGCCGGGGCACACGGGGGCAGAGCGTGTGCCCCGGGCCAGCAGCTGCCAACACACGGCCAGGCCTCCTGTGCCGGATTCGGTCCTCCCGGCACCCTCATGGTGTCCTTGTCCCGGGAACATATCCCCGGTCTGCAGAGAGGGCCGGCTCCGAGGAGGTGGGCTCCACCCTGTGCACGAACGTGCCGTAGGACTGGGGCCCCCGCTGCTCCGTCACTGTCCCCTGCCACTGGCCCGCATGTGCAGAAAGCCGCCAGGGGAGGGGCATCTGAGTCAACTTGGAGAAAGTGAGACGGGGCGTTTGGGGCACAGGGTGGTCCCGACACAAGGGCCCAGAGGGAGAGAGGGACATGGGTGCCCGGGAGCTGACCTGCTCTGGGCTGCATCGTAGGAAAGAAGCCCCAGGTGCCCCCCCCCCCATCACCGCACCAGCACCTGCAGGAGCCCGAGTGTCCCGAGTGAATGGATAAAGTGTGGTGTGTGCACAGTGGAACATTACTCAGCCCTAAAAAAGAAGGAGGTCTCGCCATTTGCAACCACACAGTTGGACCCAGAGGGTGTTGTGCGAAGTGAAGGAAGTCAGACAGAGAAAGGCAAATGCCACGTGATCTCAATTGTGTAGGGAAATCTAAGACAACGGCGACAACAAATGTAGAAACAAGGGCAAAGCAGAGACAGATGCCCCAGTGCACACTGGTGGTGGCCAGAGGGGGTGGGGGCGGGGGAGAGACAGGCTTCCGGTTGTGGCCCAACGAGCCCCGGGGATGAAAGAGACAGCGCAGGGAATCTCGCCAACGGTGCTGAGGTACCATTGTGTGGCGACGGCACGAGGCTGCGCCTGCGTTGAGCACAGCACGGTGTCCACACTTGCCCGGTCACTGCGTCGTACCCCGGAGACTCAGGGCACATTGTGGGTCAACTACGCTCCCGTGAAAAACAGAGAAGTGAATGAATCATCAAAGAACAAAAACAATTTGGGGCGCCTGGGTGGCTCAGTCAGTTGGGCGTCGACTTCGGCTCAGGTCACGATCTCACGGTCCGTGAGTTCGAGCCCCGCGTCGGGCTCTGTGCTGACCGCTCAGAGCCTGGAACCTGCTCCGGATTCTGTGTCTCCCTCTCTCTCTGTTCCTCCCATGCTCACCCTCCGTATCTCTCTCTCTCTCTCTCTCTCAAAAATAAATAAAGATTAAAAAAAGAAGAAGAAGAACAAAAACAATTTAAGGAAAAGAAAAGCGCCCCAGCTGTGGCCCTGGTGTCTTGTTCGGGATGGTAGGGACGCCCACCCAGGCTAGGGGCCAGCTGAGGCCAAGGATCACAGCTTGGAGTGATGCTGTTTGCTCACTCCGCAGATATCTAGTGGGGCCTCCGTGGGCCAGCACCGCGCTGGGGGCTGGGATGCACCTTCTCCCCTCGCTGACGGAACAGGTGATCGGACTAACGCGGCATTATCTACTTTTTAAAGATCTCCGTCTTGTTGACACACACTCATTTGCCTGTTCGTTCATTCATACAGCAAATGTTTCCTGGGGACCTCTGTCCTCGGCACGGTGAACACAGCCGAGAACCAGACGGACAAAAATCCACCTCAGAGTTCCAGACCCTTGCTTCCGATGAGGAACAACCAGCATTCTCTCGGCGTCCCTTTCTCGTGGCAGCCGTGGTTATTAATCCATGCCTGACTTCGAAATGGAAACTCCGAGACCGAGTTAATTGCCTAATTACTTTTGGAGAATAACCCACCAACCAACCATGGGTGAAGGTGAGTCTAAAACTGGATATAAACGCTCAGAAATGAATGAAAATATAGCATCTCTCCCCCCCCCCCACCACAGAGTGTCTGTGTTTCTAAAGACACTGAAACATTTTGAAGGATAAAATGTCGATTTCATTGTTTAGCACGGGGTGGCTCTATGTTGTGTCTGGGTCTTTATTCTCATAAAATGATTTCAAAAAACTATGCACTGGGGAGATTCTGTAACCAAAATCAGTGTCCGACGACAGCACGTGAACAAGGAAGCCGGGCGGTCGATACCACGTGGCAGGGCAGGGTCTGGTCGGCCTCTGGGCCCAGTCACTCCTCAGCCCTCCTCTGCCCGGGGTCGCGTCTGGATGAGGCCGGGACATGGCGTGAGGATTCATTGCAGCAGGAGAGGGAAACAGACACTTGTAGGCTCAGTTGGTACGTGGGGCTTCGGGGGAAGGACGTCTGTCCCTGCGTCTGAGGCTAGACCTACATAACCCTCGGGTCCGTGACCTTGAGATTCTCTGTGAAGCTACGAGAAAACGCCCTTCTCTACGTGAAGACAAAACATGGTAATTCTGCGGGGAAATCTACTTATAAATAACACAGTGTCGTGGTCCCAGGCAACTCACATCCACCCACTTTGTATCTGAAAGAAACGTCAACAAGAGAGGTGGAATGTTTGACTTTTCCCCTAAATGTCCACTTCCTATACTTACTAAGTGGTTGTGTGTTTTTTTTTTTTTTGGAAGGGGGGGTTTTTTTTTTTTAATTTTCTTAAAATTTTTTTAATGTTTATTTTTGAGAGAGAGAGGGAGAGTGCAAGCAGGGGGAGGGGCAGAGAGAGAGGAGACACAGAATACGAAGCAGGCTCCAGGCTCCGAGCTGTCAGCACACAGCCCGACGTGGGGCTCAAACCCACAAACTGTGAGATCGTGACATGAGCTGAAGTCAGATGCTTAGCCGACTGAGCCCCTCAGGTGCCCTGACCGTATGCATTTCTAATAGATAAAGGCTTTTTAGGAACGTGACCACCACCCTGTTATCATGCCTACCAAGCCGGCTAACGCCCCCATTCCAGCAAATGCAGTGTGGACGCCGTCCGTCAGCGGGGCCAACACCTTGCTCACTGATGGGGGCACGTGTCCCCAGGGTGGTCGTCTTCTGCTGGAACCAGGCCATTTTGTGAATCCTCTGTTCTTAGCTGACTCTGTCCCCTCTGGCCTGGGGCACCATGGACAGTGACCGGGCCCCTCCGCCCGCCGGAGCAGACTGTCCTGGGGCCCGTATGCCCCCTCCTCCCACAGCACCCCCAGAAGTGGACTAGACTCCTAGTCCTCAGCGTGGTTTGCAAACTGCTCTGAACCTTACGTTGAATGTGAACTGTGTTAAAGACAAACAGCTAGGGGCTGGGGGGCCCTTGTTCCTCTCCGAACTCTGCCAGTGAATCGCATGCCCGGCCAAGTCCTCTGACTTACCTGGGTTTGGATTTCCCTGTGGACAGGGAAGGGGGTGTCACTTCAGTCACCCGGAGAGCCACGTATGCCCCCCCGTCCACGGAAGAGAAGGAAGCCCTCACCCTCCAGAACCCTGAGTCACCCACCGATCGGATCACCTCGGCTCTCGTTTTACGCCTGGCCGGGAAGGCAGGAGAGGGAGGACTGAAGAGGGCCGCGTGCAAGGCCGTCGGGCCGTCTGATGAGTGGCCGCCCCTCCAGCACCCACGGCCGGCTCTGGGGCCCCGCAGGCAGACCCCAAGCTGAGACAGGGCTCCTGCTCGAACACGTAAAGCCCTCCTGCATCATTGCCCTGGCCCCACCCCCACCACCGCGGGAGGCCAGCCGCGGGCTGTGTGTGCAGGTGGAGTGGGGCGGTGTCTCTGTCCCCACGTGGCCTCGCGGACGCGCCCCCGTCAGTACCTCCAGCGCTCATCGGGCCCGCAAGAGCAGAGCTGTGCCCGCAGACTGGGCAGCCGTGTCCCCTGCCCGCGGCGGCGCGCACAACCCTCTGCTCACACGCGCGTGCCCACGTGTGTGCACGATGCAGCCGCGCGCGCACACACGCGCAAACCTCCAAGCTCCAAACGAACAGAGTAACTCAACAAAAAGTGCGAGGCACGTTTCCGGGAGACCGGGATGCCGGCACCGGTTAAGCCCCACAGCGGTGAGAAGCTGCAGGCCAGACGTGGGACTTACTGTCTCCGGGTGTCTTAGCGGGGTCTCGCAGAACTCAGCAAACCGGGGCAGGAGATATTTCTAAAGGAATTTTACTGCATTAAAAAAAAAAAGGGGGATACCTTTTTCCGTAAGGCCTCCAGTTTAATAAGTATCCGGGGCTTACCCTTAAATTCACCGGGGCTCAGCGCTAAGGACTTTATGACAGATTTGCCACTCATCTGAGAAGTGGCCTGAATCCCGGCTGTTATAGCTGATGGATTTATCAAAGCCGCTCTCCTTGGCTCCCGGGCGCGTGGGGAGCGCCGAGAAGCCGGGAGGAGAGACAGGAGAGGTTTGGGAGTATTAGCTGCGGAGACTGGAGCCGCCCCGCCCAGAAATGAGCCACGCGTGGGCTTAGAGACGAAATCTTTGGAACGGGAGGCACGTCTAGTTACGGGGAGCCGCGCAAAGCCGGCGCTCCGCTTCCACAGGCCGGGCTGCACCGAGTTGGGGCCGCGTGGACGTGGAAGTGGACGCCCCCTGCCCACGGCCTCACACCTGCTTCGGGGGCGGGCAGCGCGCGTTCCAGCTCCAGGGTCCCCCGCTAAAGGGTCCACCAAGGGGCCCTGCGCCCGAGTGGGCAGAGCAGAGTGGCGCCCACGGCCACGCGGACGCCCCTCACGCCCACTGACCACGGTGACGTCTCCATTCACTTTCCTGGGTGCGCCTCTCCGAACCATCGCTGAGGGCGTTTCGCAGCGAGAACACCCAGGTGTGCGGGGGCCTGGTGAGCGATGACGTGTCCCCCGGCCTCCGACGTCCCTGCCGGCGCCTCGACCAGAGGTGTCCACGGCGGCCCCGCCGTCTTCTCTCCCCACCAGGAACTCGCCCTACTGTGAATGGCCCCGGCAACCCGTCCTCTTGGGTGGAACCCACGCGTCCCGGGTGCCCCTACTCCCCCCAGTCCCACACCCCAGCTGCTGTGTGCCCCCCTCCGTATTCACACGTTGAAACCTCCTGGTTGTGCAACCACGTTCGAGTACTTTGCAATTTCTTCACCCGTAAACTTCTTCACCCTCGTAGTGGCTACGAGGCCTAAATGTTTTGTTTAAATGCCATTGTTGTCCAGCTCAGGTACGGCTGGCGTCAGCCCTTCTGTCGGTCCCGTCGCTGAGCCTACGTGGGACGGGAGCCGCTAACGAATGTGCAGCGACACCGCCCCTCCCAGGAGTGCTGGCCTGCGTTGCCTGCCGTCTGGTTTGGGGTCCGCCGGGAGACCCTCGCCGGGGCAAGGGACGTACCTGGAGATTCAGAGATTTGCAGAATGGCTTCTTAGGATTTAAGGGCTGGGAGGGACCCGAGTCCTGACCCCCACTTGGCACATGGACGCTGAGGTCCCCAGAGGGGCGGCCCCTGAATCAGCCTGGTCCCCTTTGAGCCTCAGGACTCGGTATGGAGCCGCCACAGCCTTGCCCGAGCTGTTCCGCGGGGCTCGAGGCCTCTGCCCGCCCCCGGGGCCCTCCCCAGGCCCCAGCCCCCAGGTGACCCCCCCCCTCCCACGCACCCAGGCAGGGTGAGTTCCCAGGGGCCTCACCCCGGCTCCCCCAGGGATCGGCCAAGGGGATCGCCGTTCGCCCCGGACTGTCACTGGTCAAGGGCTCCTGCATGCAGGAAAGGGGAGTCAGTTACCAGGCGGGTGGACCAGCTCCCGGTGCCTGCGGGCCAGTGGCTGTACCCGTGCTGGGTGTCAGGAAGGGAAGGCCGTGGGCGGGGGCGGGGGCGGGGCCCTCAGCAGCTGGAAGGCAGCTGACGGGTGGAAGGGCGCCACCATGGCTGGCTGCCGGGGGGGACCGTGCTCACGGGTGAGGGCTGGTGAGGGACGGGCGGGTGCAGGGCAGCCAGTGCAGGGCGGCCCCAGCTGTCCCCCACCCCCAAGCTCCCCTCACCTCCAGGACACCGTCTTCCATTTCAGTCTATTTGCGCCTGATAAGCCGGACTGGGGTACGTGGGGTGAAACCATGTAAATCTCTGAGCGTTCTGGTGGCCCAACTATGCGTCGGTCTGCCTGGTGGTGATGGCGGCTGTGGATCGTGAGACGCAGTCAATCCTTGGCCAAGGTTCTGGAGGCTGATGCCGGCCCACCCCGTTGGGAGCCACAGCCGCCAATCCCTCCTGGACCGAGGGTTGGGTGGCCCAGGAGGGGGAGAGCCCTGGGCCCCCGCTCTTCAGCCCATGCTTCTGGAAACGCCCTGAGATACCTCCTGACCGCTGGCTTGGTTGAGGTCTAGCGGGACAGGCCAGCCGCCATTAAACTCCCCCCTGGGAAGTGGGTTTCCGAGCCGTGGCTCAGCTTGTGGAGGTGCCACAGTGTGTGCGTGGTGGCCGTCTGCCCCAGGACGGCCACGCCTGACCCGCTGGGTGTGCAGCCCGGGTGGAGGCAGGGCCTTTGGACAGAGACCTGAACTCCTGGGGTCTAGTCCCACCTTCCCTGGAATCTTCTGGTCATGAGATGAAGAACAAGAGACAGTCCGAGAGAAGTAGACGCGTCACAGCTCTGTGTCCCGTATCCTCGTTGGTAAAGTGCACAGGTCAGATCCGGTCACCTCCCGCACCCTCACAGTCCCATTCGGTGGCCGTGGCTCCATCTGCCACCTCAGGGTCCATTCAGGTCCGGAACGACGTCATCCCATCAACGATGTTAAGCCAAAACCTACGAAGTCACAAGTCTGCTGCCTGGACAACCTTGCCACCCGTCACGAGACCCGATGGTGGGCCTTCCCACCTCTCCGGCTCCAGATGAGGGACTGAGCCCACCAGGCGAGGAGCTGCCCGCGGCGCCTGACCACACCATCCCCCGTGGGTGCGCGTGGGGAGAGACGATGCGGGAGTCTCTTCAACATGTGACTTGCCTCAGAAACTCTCTGCCCTGCACGCAAAGTGAAGACAACCGTCTACCCATCTGGCAGACCGTCAGTGCCCCTACCGTGCGCTCTCTCCGCTGGGTCACCGCACGCCTGGTGGAGTTATCAGCGGTGTGGCCTCGTGGTCCCCGGGATCAGAAGCCACTTGGGGTAAACTCAGCATCACTAACTGCGTGAGCCCGAACAAGTTACTTGGGCTGTCAGCACACGGGTTTCCCCTTTTCCAGATTTAAGCTGCGTCAAGGGAGGTGGGGCTGACAGACGATGTCAGGCGGGGGTCATTGAGAACCTGTTACGAGGACAGCAGTGACGCTTGGGGACAGCGGAACATATGGTCACCGTCACCCTCCGCTGTGTCTGACCCTCAGCACCTCATGATGCTCTTACCTGAAGCCACATCGGGACTCGAGTGGTGTTTTTTCCATCGGGTGCAGAAAACGTCTGACTGAAGTTTGAGTCTTGCCGTGCGTGGGGAGATCCAGTGAGATATCCTTTCTGGAGAGCGAGAGAACCTGGCCTCTCTGGGCCCTGGGAGTGTGGGAGGGCAGTGAGCTTGAGGGCGAGGCCCGAGCTCCAGGTAGAGCCTGACCCGGGGGCATGTGGCCTTGGGTGGAAGCTTCCGGGCTCCAGAGGTCTGTGGACATTCATGTCCAATATGGCGGTAGGGCAGCCAGGCATCCCAGCCCCAGCTGACTCCGGGCGTCCTGTGGCCCGCTGGGGGGCGGGGGGTGAGCCGCGGATGTTTGTGGTGCTCTGTCACAGCAGCCCGGGAGATCATGCACAGAAAATGACAGAAAGGCCAAGAGAGCCACAGGACACAGAGCTATACCACGTCTGCCTGCCTCTTTGCAGAGGAGAAAGGGCTGGTTTCAGTCCCCGTGAGTTAGGTTTCCTGTTACTCGCAGGCAAACGCACTCCCAGCTGATCAAACTGTTCAAACGGGAAAGGCTGGAGATGTTGTTAAGGGACTGCTTAAGGTGCCGTGCTCTCAGCGGGCAGGGGGCTGTCGGAAAGATCCGGTCTTTCTGGAAAACGACAAGGCGCGTATCTGGGGATTCAGTAGGTCCGGGCCCCAGCAGGGTAACCTCTTTATAGTAGTAACGAGTATTTCGGTAGAGGTGTGAACAAGTTACACACGGAGTTTTCGTAGGAAGATGAATCTTCGTTGAAAACACCTCCGTGGGCGCCTGGGGGGCCCAGGCGGTTGAGTGTCTGACTCTCAATTTTGGCTCAGGTCCTGATCTCACGGTTCGTGGGACGGAGCCCCACGTCAGGTTCGGTGCTGACAGTGCAGAGCCTGATTGGGATTCTCTCTCTCTCTCTCTCTCTCTCTCTCTCTCTCCCTCTCTGCCCCTCCCCCCACAAATAAAGAAATAAACTTAAAAAAAAAAATAAAGAAAACACCTCCCTCCCTCACCAGCACCCTATGGTGGGTCAGACGTTTTTCAAATGTGCCCTCCAAAGCCCAGGTGAATGACAGTGGCACGTATCACAGTCTCCCCGTCCCTCGCTCACTCCAGCCTGGGAGCACTCGATAATCAGTCTTTCAGGGTGGGAAACCCAGTGCTAATAAATGTAGGACCCGACTAAGCACTTACTGTGGGTGCGGATTAGCAGCCGAAGCAATAGAAAAGCTCTCGGGCGCCTGGGGGCTCAGTGGGTTGGGCGTCCGACTTCGGCTCAGGTCATGATCACGGTCCATGGGTTCAAGCCCCGCGTCGGGCTCTGTGCGGACAGCTCGGAACCTGGAGCCTGTTTCGGATTCTGTGTCTCCCTCTCTCTCTCTGCCCCTCCCCCGCTCGCTCTCTCCCTCCCGCGCGCACTCTCTCTCTCTCTCTCTCAAAAACAAACATTTAAAAAATGAATGAATTAATTAAAAGGAAAAAAAAGAAAGAAAACTCTCCAAGCTCATACTCGCTTAGGACCTAAGTGGACGAGTCCCTCCCAGTCTCTAACCTTCCCGGTTCTGCTACCCGCTGAACTGAAGCTTCGAGAAGACGTGTGAACGCGCTGACCCCCCGCATCTGTGACTGCGGCCTTATTGGGAAATAGGGTCGCCAGGGATGCAGTTAGGTAACATGAGGTCAGACCGGAGTGCGGCGGGCACTACTCCAACGTGCCCGGGGCGCCAAGGAGAGCCAGCAGTGAAGCCAGACGCGCAGGGAGGCGGCCCTGTGGGGATGAAGGCAAAGGCTGGAGCCAGCTGCCAGCCCAGGAGCACCAGGGGCCGTGTGCATCCGCCAGAAGCCGGAAGAGGGAGGAAGGACCCGCCCCCCTTCCTCGCAGGTCTCGGAGGAAGCAGGGCGCTGCCGCGACCTTGATTTCAGACCCCTGGCGTCCAGAACTGGGAGGCATTTGCGTGGTTTGAAGCCCCCAAGTTTGTGGTTTGCGAGGCAGCCGTAGGACAGTACTATTGATCACGGACACCCAGGGAGCGCTTTGCAGTAAGCACGCCCAACCCCCGGCCCTGAAATCCGGTTTTAATGGCCTCGGGGTTGGGGCTGCGTGTCTGTGACTTGGACCCAGCAGAGCCCGTGTGATGGGCCAGAAGCATCCCCGCCACGTGCTGGGTGAGGATTAGCCTCCGTCTGCAGATCGGAGGCTCCGGGGAAAACGTGCAGTGCCCGACGGGAGCCACGGGCTCACCTGCTCGGCACCGTCACCCTAGGACCCTCTGGGCTCCGACAGCCCACAGTCCGGCAGGGGCCCCGGCCCCGGCCCCGGCCCACGACCCCCAGGGCCCTCGACTCCCTGAGGCCACCATGAGCGCCCGCGCCTCTCTGTGCCTCCTTTTTGGTCTGTGTGTTTACAAAGCCGACCGGAGCCAGATCCCAGGGAGCCACTAGGTGCGTCCGTGCCCAAGACGGAGAATTAATTAAATTTACGGCTCCGGGTGATGTAAAATAAATTAGGTCTCTGTGTCATTGATTTAAGTCCTCACACCTTGACAGCAAGTTTACTTAGGATGTGCTATCTCTGAGTAAAATAACGCACACCTCAAGAAACGGAAGCCGAGGGTAGAGATTACATGAGCGGCTCCAACTTTAGGAAGTAGGTCACAAATGAGGTTTTACCCTGTGCGTGGAGAGCTCAGGGTCGGCTGAATTATTCATGCAGTCTGCGCTCCACTGTTTTAAACTCGACAATTGAACACTGGCTTGGAAGGTCATTAACACCCAGGAAAAATGCAAATGGTTTTTCTCCATCTTTTTAATTGTCATAGCATGAGAATCACCAGCACGCGGAGATGAGACGAAAGCAGGTCCCCTCCCTGGTGGGGGAGGCGGCTCCCACCTGGCACACTCCTCTCGGATGGAGACTGGAGAGGGTTCCCGTGGGCAACTGCTTCCCCGCAGAGACCCTGGCTCGGTGGGTGAGGAAGCAGATTGAGGTGCTATTTAAAGCCGTGTTCTCATACGTGAATAATCAAGAGCCTCTTTCTTTCTTTCTTTTTTTTTTTTTTATTTTTTTGATAGGGTGGAATTGGGGGCAATGCTCAATTAGCCTAGAAACTATCCCCTCGCCTGGCCACCTGTGGAAGGAGAAATCCCACGTAGATCGCAGTGGCAGAGGGGACTCTTCCCAAACCTTCATCTTGGAAGTCCACAGAGGTGTGGAGATTCGCCCCGAGCGGCTCAGCGACTTAATGATGGTCGGAACCGGCACCCCCTCCCGTCCCCAGCCCAGTGCCCGATTCACTGCACCCCCTGTCCCCCAGGAGGCAGATTCGAAGGGCTTATGTGCAGAACGTTTAATATCTGTAAGTGCAGCTGGAAAAAAAAAAAAAAAAAAGAACCG